CCAATTGGGAACTTAATTTAAGGCATTGTTTTTTTCAAACGGGCTGCAGCCGCATTCCAATATCATACATTGTGTTCTCATCAAAGTATCAATGAAGAAATAGACAAACTTAAAGAGCTTTACTCGCTCTCAGTGTATTTATATAATAGAGATAGTAACGTTCTCGGATAACACTCGGGTAGTCCTGGGAAAAGCCCTCTCCTCCCCGATCGCCAGCCCCAAGGAGCAAAAACGCCGCTCAATCGGTTGAGAACACGAAAATGTCAATGCGCGATTCCCAGTGCACGGTGCCGACGGGGCTCGATGCTCACTAACGCGCATGGGTGTGCGGCTGAACGTGGGGCCCGGACCGGACCGGGTAAATACTTTAAATCACAGGAGTGGCGATGCACTGCGCTGCCGCTAAAGGGATACCGGTAGCTGATGCCCCCTAAATGACCATTTATTGACAACTTCGTATGAGGGACCCTCCGTATACGAAAACGATCAACGGTCTCAAACGCCTCGTCCTGGTAATTTGCTTTCCCTTTCGATATAAGTAGGCAATGGTGTGTCAAAATATCAAATATCACATTCTGACATCAGCGCGGTAGCCTTTTGCCGAACTACAACGATGACCTTTGAGCTTTGAATATCCATTACATTTTCTTTGAACATGAACAGCTCAACCAAAAAGCGTTGCAAAAGTACATATAGCACGTGTTCATTCAGCTTGACAGATACAGACATATAGGTAATCCAAGTCATCAAACATTTATCCTCGATGTACCCCGACTGGCGGCTTCACTTCTAGTCGCGGGCACTAAGTGGCCTGCCGATGGATTTACGGGCGCGTTAAGGTCATGACCCGGTCGACCAATAACGCTGAGGACATATCCCATCGCACCAGGCGGTTGACGGCGCTTTGCCGACCCCCGGGGCCCCAATATTGGTAGCCTGCCGCCTACCTGCACGGTACACAAACGAAACGCCGCCGAAACCATCTGTAATACGCCACCTTCAGATTCCGAGTCAGTGCGCTTAGATTTTGCGTGATATTCGGGTAGCGCTGAGGTCGTTTTCGCGTCGTTGCAAGCCGAGTCTGAAAATGGGAGCGGCTGCATTCATCAGGGCGTGCCTGTCACGTGGCTGCACTGGGGATTGGGTGGCACCGTTTCCCGGAGACTTTCCGACGCCGGAGGCCGCTGAACTATGTACTCTGGTATTCATTGAACTCGCAGTTACAACTCGTGTAATTTCTCATAGTATTCTAGAATCATTGCGTGCATGCCAATCCATTTATACACGAAGCGATTGAACTTCCTTGAGATTCACAAAGGGAATTCGAACATGTGATTTACGAAAAGTTGTGATGAATGATGATATAACTTCCCTGAAACGAGTCCCAATGACTGATACCTGGATTCTCTTCACGCCTTATGAGGAAACCGGAATGATCTCTCTCTCTCTCTCTCTCTCTCTCTCTCTCTCTCTCTCTCTCTCTCTCTCTCTCTCTCTCTCTCTCTCTCTCTCTCTCTCTCTCTCTCTCTCTCTCTCTCTCTCTCTCTTTCTCTCTCTCTTTCTCCCTAACTCTCTCGTCTCCTTTCATCAGATAAAACATTATCTTTTTTTAAAGGAAAGAGCACAGATCGCCTAGTAGGGCGCTGTAACCACAAATTTTGCTTTCTATCGTAAATCTCCAAGGAATACACATCCATCCATCATCTTGCAACAAATCGCTTCAACCGCTCTCCTGGTTTCGCTGTACAGTATGGCGTATTGTTGGCAGCGGCCCTGCATCCCGGCAGATCGTAATGGATTTTACAGCTCCTACCCTTCACAATTAGGCTCCGCCAGCTTCCGAATCCAGCAGATACTAATGGTGAAAGGAAATGAACGTATCCGGGAGTGTTTCCGCTTTATTCAGCGCGCAGTACGATGTTTCCTACTCTCACGACGGGGTTAGATTGTTGGTGATATTTGCGTTCAAATGAGAGTTGAGCGGAGCAGCAAAGATGCAGTCACTGATACATTCACCTTCATCTCTAGTAATGAAGTCTACGATTACAGGTAACCCGATGAGAAAATTTAAAATAAAGACGAGCTTATTTTGAGACCAATGTTTCTGTGGAGTGTGGCGTCTACACCTTAACTCAGTCCCGGTGTCCCGGGATGCCCCGGCGACACCCCGAGTCCCAGCGGCGTCCCTGCGGTGTCCCGGTGGCGTCCCGGTATCGTCCCGGTGTCGTCCGGGCGGCGTCCCGTGTTGCCCAGCCGGCGTCCCTTTGCCGTCCCGATGTGTCCCTCTGTCGTCCCGGCGGCATCCCTCTATCGTCTCTTTATCGTCCGGGTTCCGGCGTCGTCCCGGCGGCGTCCCGGTGGCGTCCCGGCATCGTCCCGGTGTTTCCCGGCGTCGGCAGATGGAGAGCCATTGCCGTCAGTGGACGGGCCGGCCAACCCATTACCGGTGGACGGTTCCCCGGGGATAGAACAGCAAACTGGTCTCACCGGCCTACCGGACACAGCGGGCTCGACAAACGAACGCGATGGACGGAAACGGGTGCGGGACGGGCGGACACCGGACAGACGGACGGAGTGAACGGACGGACGGACACGGGACAGACACGGAATGGACACGGAACGGACGGGACGAACTGATATAATTATCAAAATCTTAGAAATAATTATTTACTTTAAATACCATTTCATAACGATATTTCTTCCATATGGGCTCAATATTCCTCAGAGTGTTTCACAATCTGTGAAGCTGACGTCGAAATTGTTTTTATGAGGATCATTGCGTGATATTCTGAGCTGGGAAAACGGCAACTTAAAGTAGCTCGACTGAAGCTCTCAGGCATTCTATAAGCCCAGAAAACAGCACTGGTTGCGTCACTGGTTGCTTAATACAAGTTCAGCCTCTTTTTATCATCCTTACCCTATCCCTAAGAAGTAAGGTTATTTTTAGGAGCTCCCGCCTCTAGCAAAGCTACTGAAGATCAACTGAACATGCTACGGAATATGCATCGCAGCTTATTACAAAGTGATCAACAAAATATCGAAGTAGAGCAGTCTCATAGACACTAAATTCCAACAACTCATACACATACCTCGGCGCATGCACATGGACAACATGACAAACAAACAAACAAATAAGCACACACAAAACAGCACGCGCACGCCACAAGGGAGCACGCGCGTGAACGCAGAACACCATCACGGTGGCTGAAGATCACCAATGAAGCGCGTGCTCACGCCGACCGCGAGAGAGGCGGCCAGCAGTGTGCTGATGGGCCATATATATGCAGAGGGAGCTATCCGGGCCCGCTGGGTGGGTCGATAGATTTCTGTCTCTGTGAGGTGGCCGGCCCGCCGCGCCGCTCCGAGCGCGCTAAACTCCGCCGCCGGCGAAGGAGTTTATTTACCAGAGGTAGCCAGCCGAAAAGATATCTGGCTTTTATTTTGGCCGGCTGAGTGGAATCGGAGTAAAATAATTTCTGAGTGAGTTTATTGTGCTGGTGCTGGGTGTCATCATTTGTTTGTCTGGTGGTCGCAGGGGAGGAGTTTAATCCAGACAACAGTCTAGATTGCTGCAATTATTCGGTGGTTTCAGCATAAGAAATTTAGAATGCCTACCTTTCTCTCCACACAGCACCAGACTGCAGTCTCTTCACCTTGTTGGACAAATACCCGAGTTTTTTTTCTAGATTCTTTAAAAGTTAGATGGTCTATCTCTATGGCAAAAGACGCGCCGCACAGCACGCGCTGGGGCTCCTGGATTTCCACGCTCCGCTGGGGGATTTCTACATCCCCTTGCTAAATCAATTCTTGGGCCATGTAGCGCCACGCGATAGGCAGCGTTCAAAAAAATGCCAGGCATCACGAAAAATGGTAATCATTGCTTAGGTCAGACAAAAAAAAAACAGGTGAACAGAGGTCATTGAATATCAAGCATCGCCTAGTTATTTCGGCAATAATGCCAAATCGGGTCATGACTCGGGAACGAATAGAGCGACATCGACATGACCTACATTCTTTAATTTATTTCTTCTTTGAAAATTGAAATTCATCAGTCTTGGTCACATGAACAATGTAAAAGTAACGCCAATCACAGGGCAGGATCAATGACGTGGATATTTATACCGCCGATAGTGCAAATGTCGCCAGACTGGCGAGGTCGACGCTGCCTCCCGGGCGGCGCCAGTGTTATCCAATTATCGAGCCGTCTGGGTAAGTTCGTCCAACTCAAATGATTACGCCTGGAATAGCTTGATGACCATGATGCAAATCTGTCGATCTACTTAGTCTAGTTAGGGTATAAATGCAACAGTGTGCCAGATTTGACTGCAAGTTTTACTTAAATTCACAAAATGGACGCTATAGAAATGTCCTTTGACAATTTGAACAGATACGTTAATGCAAGTTTTTTTTAGCTAAATTCAGCAATATCCAGTAAACTATTTCTTAGCCAATTAACATTCAATCACGGTGGACGCTTATACATATTCGTCTGAGCACACCAGCTTTCAAATGCCTCAAAGGCACCTGAGAATCATATCAAAGTCGCCCATAAAGTAACCGGACCTTACCGGTGACTTGTGAGTTATGAGCCACAGTGCACACTTTACACCGGTTCAGTTGGTGCCTTCTGAAGTGCTGAATGATGGCGAAATCTGTAATCCTTCATTTCCGGCCCAGACACTTTTGTGTAATCACGAGTGTATGTGCCCACCCACGTTTTACTTCCATAATCCCCACAAAGACTCCCGCCGTCACCACTGTTATATGTAAATGGTTTTGCAATTACGAGTACACATGACTCAAGGCACGATGATTACATAGGTACGTACCTATACGCAATACTACCTACCACTTATTTCTTTATCTCACATGCTTCTATGACTCACATATGGCTCGTTACGCACACACGATCATGAAATCAGCATCCCCGAATAGATAGGTAACCTTAAACGCATATGACCACCCAGTGCACCATTGATCACATAAGTTTCTGTACTCACACATGACTCGGAGTGCGGTGGGCTTGCTGGTGCTCTCGCCCTCTGTGTTGACGGCATGGCACCGGTATGACCCGGCCTGGCGACGTGTGACGTTCTGCAACACCAGGCTGGTGCTGCTGACGATGACGCCTCGCTTCTTGTCCATCACCACCTCCTCGCCCTGTCGGCCGCGAAAGTCAGTGTCAAATGTCAACAAATATGGTTGACAATTGACATGATCATGCCATTGTCAGAATGTCACAAACACAGTCGACATGATCATGACAAGATCATATTGTCAATAAAACAGCTGACGTGAGAATGACGTGAGCTCCCGATCCGCCAACCTAAACAATTTACAGGAGGTAAATAGTAAAGACATTGTCGGAAGCGGTTATCATAGGGATGGACCCGAGTAACGTGACTTTATATCGTTTTTGCGTCCACAGAACGGCTAGCCTCTGCGGAATCGCTTCACGGCCGGCGGTGTAACCAAGCCGTCACCATTTTCCGGTTCGGTTACCCTCCCAGCAGGGTTTGTGTGCTCTGAACGCGGCACCGTCCACCGCAAAACAGTACGGCAGTGGACACCCGGGGCGCGTTCAAACACCATCAGCGGCTAATCAAACAGTCCGCGGCGCCGCGCGGTGGTCGAAGGGGATAATTTCCACGGCACATCGGTCAGTGGCGCGACTGACCGACTGTGATGTTCGGCCAGCTGCCGCAGGAGGTTTGATGACCACTGGTCAGAGGTCAGTGACCAGCAGTGAATTGGTCTGGGCAGTGCTGAGTCAGCTTACTCAGAGCCGGGGCATGGGGTGACTAAGACATTATTGCAGCCATTCTCAGCCCATGCCTTTCAGCCCATAAAGCCAGTCACTCTCCTCCACTAGCTTAATCTGTATTCTACCCAAAATATTTTAATTTTGTTTGGTTTTATTCACTTTTCCTGGTCTACTCGTAATGCACCAATTATGTCAGTTTACAGGAGAGTTCCTACGCCTTCTCCCACATCTATTCCACCTCCCACCCAATGACAGCTGGCATGCATCTTACCCCATCCATCCAACCTTTCACCCTATCCATCTACCTATCTCTCCCCAAATCCACCCTGTGACTTCTCATCTTACCCACCTCGCCTCTCAGCCAGTCCACGCCGCCTCTCACCTTACCCACCCCACCTCTCACCTTACCCACCCCGCCTCTCACTCAATCCAGCCCGTCTCTCACCCAATCCACCCCGCCTCTCACCCAATCCACCCCGCCTCTCACCCAATCCACCCCGCCTCTCACCCAATCCACCCCGCCTCTCACCTCATGTAGCCAGGTGACTCGGCTCGGCGGCGGGTTGGACCGAACCTCACAGTCGAAGAACACATCCATCCCCTCGCGCACATCATCGGCGCTGATCATAGGGCTCAGACGGAGGGCGACCTTCGGCGGGACTGCGCGAGAGAGGTCATGTGGGGTCAGCGACGGGTCAAAGAGGGGTCAGTGGAAGGTCATGTAGGGTCAATGTGGGGTCAACTCGATATTGTGTGACAGAGTCATGAAGGGTTCAATACTCTAATGAGCGGTCGAGGGTCAGGTCAAAAGAAGGGTGACCTTACCAGCGAAGTAATCCATTTTGGAGACATCTATGTATGGATCTGGATGTAAAAACAAATACAGTGATGATTCCGAATATCATCGGAGTGAATGCTTTCTACGCACACAATATCGATGAAATGTAAGAAATGACTGTTTTCTAACATTAGATCCCTCAGGTATAACGTTTCTTGAATCTTATCTGCAACAGGGAAAGCATTGCGCCACTTTCGACGCGGATGGAAATGCATTTGTGAGATGATTCAACCGCGCAGGAGCGCTGCAGTTGCGTTGCGTGTGTACTCTCGGCTTTTTCAACGTTCGCAGAAAAGGTAACACACACAGTTTCTCTGTAACCTCGACGCACTTGGTCTAATTGTCTGCGAGTGTCTGCAGTAAACTGAAATCCCCAGAGCTGAAACTCACACGCGCCTGTTTCGAAAAACAAGAAAACACTTATGGAGCTTCTCGCGGCAGGCGAGCGCACTACACCTAATGCAATGAAACTTGAATATGCATTACGGATGCACATTCAACAATAGTTTGATGGCTTTGTGCTACATTACTTTGCATATCTCTATGTTCCATTTGTTTTTGCTACCTGAGGACATTGGAATATTTTATACGATATGTCTCTTTGTCAGTTCCGTGACTCAGCTTGTCCAGACAGCACAGCCGTTTTTTTCATCAATTAATTTTTATTCTTTTACGTGTCATCACTCACTAAACCTGTTTTCGATGGAGCAGTCACTCAAGAGAGAGCTAACTTCGGGCTCATGTCAATGCTCTGATAAAATACATTAGACATTTTGCTTGCAATCTTTGAAAAACCCATACTTTATTTTTTTTGTGAACAACGTACTTAATAGTTTCTCTTCTGCCATAACTTGAGCCAAGTGCCACGGGACACTTTTTCATTCAGGTGTGACCACTTGTTATTCACTTTAACCCGGACAAAAACACGCTAGTAAAAACATGAGATGGCCTGCTGAGTAGTGTTGTTGCGGAGTCCACCTCCCTCCTCTCTCCTCTCCGGCCTCCGACACCGCCGTGCGCGCGTGCGGCGGTCTCAGCTGGGCCGGACAGCCGCAGTGGCGGAGCCGCCGCCCGCCGTTCTCCGAAGACGCCACCATGCATGATACTCATTACATTTGCAAAGGCGGACGCGGCGCATTAACCGAGTCGGCTTTGCGCCAGTTCAGTATTGATCCTGGGTTCCGTGGCGGTGCCCCCCCCCCCCCCCCGGTACCCCGGCGCATGGGGCGGGGGCGGGCCGCCGGGCGAGACACACGAACTCGCTGACACCTACATATCAGGGGAAGGTTACGTGTGCCGTGATGCGTTTATGCCACCATTTGCAAGGCGTGGTGCACACTGAACGAGGAGTATTCATTCGAGTGGCGATGCTTAGTGAATGCTCAGAAACGCCTACCAATTCACGAGATGGTTATGTTGCCAATCAACCATGCACACGGAAGGTAAACAATGTGCAAACACTTCGCTGGATACAAAACAAGACGTTGCCTAGTGCCTACAGTTGCTTGCCTTTCCTCGGCTTTCTATCGCCACGTCCCCGCATCCTTGACAACGATCGACAAGGTCAACTGTGCTTGATGACGCTCTGAAGTCTGCACCATCCCAGGGCCACCTCATCATCTAGCACATCAACGGGATCCCTGCATGACGCTGTTACCATGAACGAACATTCCTCCAACTAGTCCAGAAAGTTGTGTCACCGGTTCCAAAGTCCCCACCGACTGGCAAAATGATCACCTTCGACCAACGGGAGGTCGTTTATTGAGGGAACTTTTCTCCTATCTTCTGGCACACCTATGGTGATACTTTTGCAGTTTCCACAACTTTGTGCTTCCTTGTCACCCAGACATTCCTGAGAAACAACTCTTTCGATCATGGCATTCTGTCGGAAGCTGGACTGGAACACCCATACCTGCAGTGCATATTCTTCTCTGCTCATTGCAGTTCAGCTGTTCCAATATGCGAACATCACCACTGCTCAAGTGGCCACCTCGTCTTTGCCGCCCCTAGTTAAGTCATCCCTCCCTGCAAGCACAGTTGAGTCGCCACCCCACTCCACGTCGCCCAAGCGCCAGTGCCCTCCTTCTCAATCACCCCAGTCCGAGCCACTTACATCTGATGTTGAGTCGGCGACTATCCTCGATGAATTTGGACCGGTCCATTTTCGGGTTGTGGGCACGGCAGGAGAGCGTCTTGCCCTGGTCGCCCAGATCCGGGCGGAGGTGGATGGTGCTGATGCTGGTCCCTCGGTCCGCCGACTCCTGTGGATAGTCACCAGGTCACCACTCACCAGGTCATGAGGTCACCAGGTCATCAGGTCATCGAGTCATCGAGATACTAAGTGACTAGGCTGTCTGGTCACCTTGCCATCTCGCCACGAGACACTGGCCACTGGCCACTAGATTTAGTATAGGTCATCTGGTCGCCAAATCAGCGACAAGGTCTCCAGACGAATTACATGTCAGTGGAAGACCACTTACCAGGCAAACAAGTCAGTGAATCATGCTGCTGCTGCTAGGATACAAGATCACATAGTGACCAAGGTTTTAGATTGCTAAGACATCAAAGTGGCATGCTATGAGGCCATCGGAAGTTAGCATGTTGCAAGTCTACAGGGGGAGGCTGCCCACGTTTGCTCCCGAATTTTAAAAGTTTTGACATTTCGTAACATTTCCAGAGGAAAACTTGTAAATTTGTGTTACATCTTGTGTGGGCGGGATAACAAATTTATCATACTGGCGATCACAGACATGAATTATTGATCAGCATGTAACAGTCAATAAATAATGAAGCCCGGAATATGTAGTCAAATCGTAGAAAATGGCTCCACTGGCATGGTAATTCGTTTCTTTTTGATGATTTGGGAACAATCGCATCCGCTGTCTCGTCCCTATAATTCAATCAGCGGCTTGCAAAAGGGTGACAACATTTGACATGCTACGCCTCAGCAACATTTCAAGCCTCACAGATCAAAGCGGTTTGCTACCGGGAGCTTCCCGCGAATCGCCAGATCAGACGTCTGTCAGAGGGTCACTGGGGTCGGCGACACCTGCTTCGGGCGCCTCCGCTCCCAGCAAAGGTCAGTGGGGCGCCGAGCAGTTCCTCCCGGGGGCGCCGGGGGGCGCCGGGGGGCGCCGGGGCGCGTCTGACGGCGCCCGCGGGAGGACGCTGCTGAGGCCGGGCCGCAGAACGGTCGGCTAACAGGCCCCGCGGCGCTACTGGCCGCCGCCACCGACTGGATGGGCATCTCGTGACCCGCGGAGGGCCACGGGAGCGCGCTGAGTATTGCTGCGAGGGCCGTTTGTCATCGACATTGACGATGAGTGCATGCTGGGGCATAATTTCGGTGGATACTTGCTGCCGGTGACGCTTAGTTTATGTGGCCACCTCAAGACTTACGTTATATATCAGCGCATGATATGCACATTGAACAGTTCAATGCTCATACGCATCTTTAGACTCTTCATTTCTTAATAAGATTCAATATTTTTACTGCAGTAGCATTCCAGAAGACGGAGAAAGCACAGGAACGTAGGTATACAAATAAGTATAAAATAGACAAACAATAAATACTACTTAAATAATTTCGTTTCAGCCATAAATAAATGTGAATAATCGGCAATCATTCAGATATCCGTACAGGGATTATAACAGAGCAGCCAGTTTGCGGTCGGTATGTAACACCCCAGGACCGCCACCCCGCCGGAAACGGGTAAAATTTCCCCGACTGCCGGCGCGGACCGGCACCCGGCTGCGGCCCGCTTCCTGTGATTCATAATTCAGGCCGGCGCCCTGATGAGTTCCCGCTTAGCACGCCAGTCGTCTGTAGAACACGACGGACATGGCGGGCGTGTCCGGTACCGCCCGAACATACGAGGAGTGAGTGTAAGCCTCCCCTGACCTGGGCTCAACCGTGCCTGACCTGGGCTCAACCGTGTGGAGGTGGGAACCGGATGTGCAGATGAGACATGGGGATCAGAATTTAGAACCGATTCACTGAATGAAAACGTAGAAAAACTTCAGGTGCTATGCAACATGATGAACGATGTTCTACCTCTTGGTAGAACACCTGTTGGTGAGTAGCTGACGATAGTCCGTCTCCGTCATCTGCCTTTCACATGCTGACAAGTTGAAGGTGACAATCAGCATCCCCCGGTGCCGGACCCAGTACTCACATGTTGCTTGCCGTTGGGCAGTGCCGCGTTGTTGAGATACCAGGTGAGCGTGGCTGCGGGTCGGGAACCCGACGAACGGCACACGTACTCGTACTGTTTGCCCGCGGAGAGGGGACCGTCCTCTCCCTGCAGTCGCACCCTCAGAGGCCGGACTGGAACGACGGACAGAGGGGGTTGTGTTATTGAGAGGGTGCGGTAGGCAGGGGTATCTGGGGAGAAAGCAGACGCCGGGGGTTTACCCAAGGGGCGGCAGATACGAAGAGGTTTCTGGGGGATACTGCAACGGAATAGGTTACCCAAGGGACAGCAGACGACGAAGTTACCCAAGGAAATGGTGAACAGCGGGGAGTTTCCTGGGAGATCAAGGAGACAGCGTTGGCAAACAAGGGGAGGGTTTATTTAAGAAGTGCTGAAGATGGCTGAGAATTGAGATACAGATGGAATCCATACATTTTCATTAGTGGAATTAAACAAATTAATTAAGGAAAATCAATACAAGAGGCAACATTTGTGTTAACCGATAGCAAGGTGTAAGAGATTCATAGAAAAAAATCAGCGAATAGGTAGTCTGAAGCTAAGAGAGTTTTGAGCCCCGCGGTTCAAAGAACCCAATAAACAAATGCTAAACTACATGGTTCAGTTGAAAGACACTGCCCTTTGGTAGGACTGTCTCATACAAAAAAAAGTAATTTCACTTGTGCATCAATAATGCATCTATGTATGTGATTCCACTAGTGTGTCATGTTGACGATGCGCTACGCTCAGAAAATCAGCATCGCCATTTTTATTACTGTTGTCAATTTTCTCCGGAACACACTCCAACACTACTTAGCCGAGGTTTGAAAAGAACACCATCTGGATTGGCAAAAACGAGCAATGGAAAACTCGCAGAAGATCGAATTTCCTGGCGGTCTAAGGCAGCTGCTGATGGAGAAATGTTTGCAGCTGGTGGGGCGTTATTTGGCCCAACCGTAGCCTAAAGTTGGCTCTCGGTCGGCGATCGATCTTAACAATCACGAACGATGCAAGTCTTTCCTTCTGACTGGCGTCGCACAAAGAAAGTGGCAGGTTAGGTGGAAAGCCTTTTTCAACACTCACTCCGGTATTAAATGGAAAAGCAATCTGTTGCAAACGAGAACGGTGAATAGATGAAGAAATGATACCGGTATTGGGCTTGAAATATTTACTTCAGTCCGTTCTCTATATTTTGAGAGCGCGTTGGGTCTAAAGGTCCAATTTCAAGTGATAGTCTCCACTTTGATCAAAGCCAGCAATAAATCCCGGCTGAATATGCATGGAAACGCATCACACACAGGGCTCGACGATGAATGGGCCAATCGACAGTAGCAGAAATTGAGCGCCGACCTGCGCAAAGTTCAACACTCGGCACCGGCCTCGGCGACCGGCGTGCGTTTTCAGTAGAGATTGCCGATACGTGGAGGCTGCAGGCTGCGTCTGGCTGCTTTTGTTTGGTGCAAGAGTGAGGTCAATTCAGGTAATAGGTGCTGATGTTTGTAGGGCTGCTCATAGAAAATGGTAATCGATAAGACAACGCAATGGTTGAGTTAAATAATCACATCTTTGGTTCGTGAGTTCAGCTATCGATATACAACAAACATTCTACAAAAAGTTTTCGGGCAAAGTAACACCGGTGTCATCACCAATGCGTCCGTTACGGACGCTTGAATTTACTAAGGCTGGTATGGAAGACTCCCAAGCGTTTAAATTAATGAACTTTGGAAACAAAGACAGCCTTCATACTTTCAAGTTTCAGCCAGGAACACGAATTATTTAAAAATATTATGATAGCGTTAATTATTGATAAGTCTTTTTCGTTCTTGTTACGTATCGCAGACCAGTGGCCATCCTGAGCGTGCCCATATATGGTTTTACTGGGTTTTCATGGCAATAACGACGCCGTTAGGCTGGTACGTAGCGTGACACCGCATGGCCTGGACTGTCGCCAACTGGGCGCCTCCTTTTCAGCGCCGCAGTTTCGCCGAAGGATATTATGGACCGTAATGGGAGACACATTGTCTCGAGCTCAAAGACGAGATTTAATTGGCGTCGTTTGACATAGTTTGTTCCTCTTTCAAACGCCGGTCAGACTGGATATATGGCTGTTTATTGCCTACAATGGCCGGAAATCGGAGAAAACCAGTGGCAGATTAAACACAGATGTCGGGCTAATGGCGACAGGCAGCGAGAAAAATCCCAACTATTGAGGGAGAGAAAGTGGTTTTCTATTGACGTCCTAAAAAGGGTTTTCGCAGGAAAGAAGGCGATAATTTTAGATTTAGTACGAAAAGGAAATATACAATATATCAAAATTGATCAAAAGTTTATTCAAGAGGCATATCCAGGTGGAAGCTTAGGGCGCAGCAGATCATAACTGCATTTTTTAACAAACGAATAAACGAATCTAAAAACTATAGATGGGCGTATTACCTCAATGCTGGAATCACATTTGGTTCCTGGCAAATGGCATAGACTGATAGCCCGAATCAATAAAGCGTCCATCATTCTAATATACCCTGACCTTAAGTCTCGTGAATGACGGAATGAATGGCAGTGATGCCTGTGGACGGGTGTCCTTGGGTGTGTGATATTCGCCAGCCATTTGCCGATGTTCCGCGAACCCGTGTCCAACTGGTGTTTGCCCATGTCGCTATTATATTCGGCGACACGGTCGTCCTTGCGACAGCCCATTGCATCGCACGCCCACACCGTCCAGTGCGCGTCACCTTTTGGCGGCTGCACGTTATTGCTATCATATTTCTTCCTAGGAAAGTCTTCATTTGATGCTCGGAGAACCACCCTTCCTGCCTTATTCACTCTTCCTGTATGTATATCAAAAAGAAGGAAACGGCATTCGGTGCCACGTAATGAAGTCTGTCTTGATTTTGAGCACAGAGAAGTAACAAGGTTTTGACGGTAAGACAAGGCCACTACTGAGTACTGTGACTATTATTTTTCTCGTGGAATGTTCGCGTATGCTTTGTTTTTACTGCTCGTTGTTGTAATCAATGATTTGAAAGACTGTAAGCCACATTTTAGAATAAACAGTACCTTTAGTACAAAAAGTGAAAACATGTAAACATATTTGACAAAGAAAATATATTTAGATGACATTGGGTTTTAAAATAACTGACAGTCTCATTACTTGACAAAAATCGCGTCGAAACAATCGCTGAATAAAAATATGTTACGGATTGAGTATGCTCGTAGATAAGAATTTAGTTAACCTTTGTAAACCCCAAGACAGGCAGCGTAGCATTTTCCTTGGCTTTGCGTGGAACATTTTAAACGCTACTCCAGAACCCCAGTTAGAAGACCAAGCAATTACCAGGGACCAGGTGGCGCTTACTTACTACATGGGTACTGCACTACGAGCGACAGCGCCGCGAGCCTCCCACGGCATCTATTTCAGTCCCCGCCCTAAAAGTCGACCAACGGCCCAGCTGGAAGGGTTTATACGACCTAGTCCGCGTGCAATCATCATCGACTACACCCCTGCATAGTGGCTTAGCGACCCTTGCCCCATCAAAGGCCAGGAAACGAGCTTACGACGCCTCTCCAATGACGCTGTTGAAAGATGTTCGATTTCCACCGGTCGGAGAGCAACGGGTGAAGTTAGGCACCGATCGGGTAACTCCCCGTATCCGGCGGCGGCCCGAGGCCCGCTCTGCTCCCACCGTCTCTGATGGGACGGCGCGGTGGGCGGTAATATCTCGGGACCAGCCGGTCGGAGACAGGCCAGCTGCCCAGACGTGAGCGACATTTGGATTTCGTTTCAGTATTCGCCGATCACCAGAATGGGCTGCTGTTATTAGAGAGGCGAGAACTTTTGTCTCATTGAGGACGGAAAGTGCGGCAATTTGGGAGACATTTTGTGGACCGGTGATGATACCTCTTTGACTGTCATTGCAAAAATACTGAGTGTTACCCGTCCATCTTGTTGGTTGCACTACACATGAGAATGAGCATTGCATTTATTAAATACATTTATCATAATCAAATAAGCATTTTCTTTTCAAGAAACACATAGCAAACCCTCATCTTGGCATTGCTCCTACGGCGGCTGAAACAATCCAGAGCGAACTTACGAATATCTGGACTTAATATCGGCCTTTGCTAATGCACAACTTGACGCAGAACCTCAATCAAACCACTAACTTTCGCACACGCTAGCCATTTCTAATTCGACCACGGCCGCCTCGACTCCCGCACACAGCCAAATCGGCCTCCCAAGCTTTGAATACCAAGCTGATTCAATTTTCTGCGAATTAGGTCCCGGAGACACGCTGTCAGCCGAAGTGCGTGTGTCTCGCAGGTGCCCGAGCACCGCGCGGTGCGCACCTCGGCCACACCCGGCGCTGGGCCGCTCAGCTGAGACAGAACGCAGACAAACAGTCCTTGGGCGGCTGAAACTCAGCTGGGCTGAGACACCACCTCGGTCACCAGACGGCGCCGAAATGGTGCCGCAGTCGAAACTTGGTGACTGAGGCGACAGCTGCACTGAAACTTGGTAGCTGAAATGCAATTGATGAAGCGTAGCGATGAAAATGGCATCGTGGGCTTAATTTTGGCTGTTGAAGTCTCATGAACGAACGCAGAGGGAAATGACACTCTGTCACGGTTCATGGCTGAAACGCCACGTATGAAGCTCAACTGGAAGGCGCTGGGGCTCGGAGACTGGCGGTGGTCGGGAGGTGCTCCATTTCAGCGGGAACGCCGCCGGATCGCTCGGAATTCCGATCGAGTCTCTCGGCAGCTGGCCCCGATTTACAGAACGGCGTCCGGGCTCGGGCCGGCCAGAACGGCCGCCGACTGCAGACGGAGAGTCGGCAGGGCCAGCCGCCCAGCCGGATATGCAGCCCGCAGTCACCGTCACAGTCGCAGGCAGTGACCGAGGCGCCAGCGGTCTTTATATTGGTGGCGATAACCGGAGAGGTATGCGGGCGACTGTGGTCAAATAAGGTGAATTTGGCTCATGGCAGCATGATAGTTGCATTTATTTCTTGCTTACTTGTATGTGAATGATTGAACAAGCGGCGGATTTACACTTGTCACAATGAAGCACTTTGTTTTGGATCACGGACTGTGCACTGCAACCTCACATAATCGTAACTTCGCCAACGAATGCAACACG